CCCGCAGAGTGCATCCGTCGCGGTGACCCCGCCCCGCCCGGTGCGCAGGCCACGGCGTGACAATCACAAACGCAACGCACGCGGTCCACGAGGTTATCTCCCCCTGCCCGCGCGACGCACAGCACAGCAGCAGCGCGTTTCCCGCCGAAGTTTGAACTTCCCGCGCGTCGCGTCCAGACGGGCGCTGCCCGCCGGCCCGCCGCGCCTCGTGCCTCGTGTAGTAGTACACCTGCGCGACCGCGCTGACGCCGGCAAAAACAACACGGGGCGCCTCTTGTTTACCTCCGCGACAGAGCGTGCAGCGCGCAGGCGGGAGGCGGGAGGAGGGGCGAGAAGCATTTCTTCGCAAAAACCGCACACGCGAGGGAAGGGCTATTTATACGGGGGGAGTGTTACAAGGTTCGGGTGTTTCGGTTCCCTCCGACTTACTCTTAGAAACAATGCCAATGTTTGCTCTCCGCCCGCCTGCCCGCTCTCCCCGCGCCGCCACCACCGTGCCACGGGGGCTGCCTGGTTGCCACCGCGTTCGAATCGAAAACACACCGTTAAGACTGGCCTCGTTCTTCTCCCCCTGCTTCGTCGCTGGAGACGCAGTTTCACGGTGCTTGCCCCCTCCTCCTCCTCCTCCTCCTCTCCGCCCCGTTGGGTTGGGGACACTTGCAGCCACAAACACACACACACACTCAAAACGAACGTCGGCGACCCGTTTTGCAGCTCATTCCGATTCGAGATTTCTACGCTTTTTTCCCGCCTCGCAAAAGTCAGGGAGCGCGCGCTTTATGGGTTCTGGCAGCGCGCCGCCGCGAGAGGGCAGGGCAGAGCAGCGCGCCGCCTGCGACTCTCCCCCCCCCCCTTTTCCCTCCCCCTGACTGGTTCGGAGGGTTGTTCAGGGCGTTCGTTATTAGTCCTGGCAGCCCCCGCCCCGGGGGTCAGGACCTACACCCGGTCCCGGCGATGCTGACGCCGAGGTGATAGCGGCGCGGGTGACTCGGTGCCGTTGAACCCGGTTGTCTACAGACAGCACCATCCTTTTGTGACCCTCCTGCCAGGAAGAAGACAACCGTGGCTCGCACAGCCCCGCGGATGACAAGCCACTTGAAGGAAAATGGAGAGGAGGTTTCCTGCGCGCACGGCACGCCCTTCTTATCATGGCGAGAAACAAAAACCGAGATGAGGTGGTCATATCTCTGACGCATTCTATCCTAAACGTTACTCATTTTAACTTTGTCGCCGTGCCGTCAACGTGACGTCATCGCAGCCGGTAAGAAGTGCGCTACGGCAGGTGAGCCGGGTGCGCCCCCAGGCTCCTGGCCGGCCCAGTAGTGCAGCGGACCGCCCGGGCCTATTCTGGGTGTGATAGTGTCTATTCTCGTAGCAGACAAAGGACCCCCCTCTGCTCTCCCTCTCTCTCCCCACCCCTCGCCAAACGACTGCTCTCATCGCAAGTAGCGGGTAATGGGGGGGGGGGAGGGGGATGTACGACATCACCCCTCAGCGGCCCCTCTCATATAATTTGTAGCGCACGGGAGGGTGTTGACGGTCCCGGGGGAGCCGGGTGAGTAGCAGCAGCGTGGGAGGGGTTGTAGTGCAGTGGCGTGGAGGGTTGCTTTGCGACCGCGAAGACCTGCCCCCCCCCCCCCCCTGAGCGCACCCGGAGTCTGACGCCTGGACCTCTCGACAATACAGGCGCGTAGCCAGAGGAGAGGTCGGGAGGTCATCCAGGTCATGAGCCCATCCCCTCATCCAAGCTGAAGGGCCCCGTTGGCACCAAAGACCATTGACGTAAGACGTCTGATACGCATTTGCAACAATTTGAAGCGTGCAATTTTCCTCCAAGTTTAGGCTAAACAGTACGACACGACCTCCCCCAAACCGTGCATGCCCCCAAAACGCCGTCGAGGCCCTTTTCCGTGTTAGTTTAGCGGGGCCCGACCTCTCTCGGCTCGGCTGTGAATCACCTGAGCAACAAACAGAGCAGCCAGCAGCACCCACAGGGTTACACACAGACACCACCCAGTCATGCACAGCCGATACCAGCAGCTGGTACCAGCACCAAGCGGCTCACCGAACCAAACGATTTGCGGAGAAGCAAACCACGCAAAACGCGTGCGCCGATTAACGGCCGCGCCGCCGCGGGATAGCCGCGCTGACGGCTGACGGCGCACCGAGCGCCGCGCAATGGACTCCCTCGGTGCAAGAATGTAGGTCAGTGACTGTTTACCTCGCTGCCATACCGCCCGGTGGTGCCGCCGCACAGTAGTGCGTCTGGACCGCCAGCATCTCCGTCAGCGGGGTGATAGGGTGCGCGGCGACGGGTATCAACAACGTGTGTAAAGGGCGGGTCGGGGCTGGCCAGGCAGGGCCGGCGACCCGGCGGAGCCGCGGCCGTCGTCGTGGGGGCAGCGACCTCGGCCTCCGTGTCCCTCCTGCTGCTTGCCCCGCGGCGCGTCTGTCCGGGAGCCCTCTGCTGGCACGCCCTGCAAAACGCCGCGCCGCGCCACGCCATGCCAGACCGTCGCAGACCTCAATTTCGCTGCATGTGTGCAATTTGCAGGATGTCTAAATAACAAGAGGTCGTCACGAAACTCCAGCTGCTGCTCCCCGGGTTGCATGATGCTGCGCGGACGATCCCTCTGCTCTGCGACATGTCCCGGGGCTGCTGCAGGAGGAGTGGCAGGCGAAGGGTCCGCAGGCCGATCCCATTGGCGGGGCGCTGCACCTCACCTGATCCCGCCTCACCTGCCGTGTGCCGCCGCCGGGAGACGAAATTCAGGGAAATTGTCTCCCTTCTTCAGAAAACGAGCCCACAGTTTCGCAGCACCCGGTTTCGTGTCGATCTTAAAAAGCTGGTTGGGGTACCACACCATTGATGCTGGGAGCCGATGAGGCTGGAGGAAAAATTTTGGGAAAGGAGGGGGAAAGGGTTACAGTGGTGGGGGGAAGGGGCGGCGTGCTCGAGGAAACATGCAACATCACCCGACATCACCCGACATCACCTCACTGACGGACCGTTGGATTTCTAGAAATGCGGAACGGTAGGCGGCACTGCCCCCTTCCCTCCCTCCTTTGCCGCCTCTCCCTCTCTCCTCAGCCCGAACTGATATAATTAACGATCAGGTCCGCCAAGCGGGCTTCCGGATCCGTTTTGCACTTCGCAAAGGGAGGTGGAAAAGGGGGGGGGGGGACAAAGAAAGGAGTTTTTCTCTCCCTCTTTTTAGATCCATATTCCTTTCTCTTCCCCCTCCTCTTTCTTTCTCGTCGCCGTGCCGCTTCGGCGAAACCACGTGACTCTGGCATTATTTTCGGTTTCATCATTTTGACGACGCGTGAGACTTGCTCCGCCAGGGCGGGGCAGACTGACCTGACTGACATGTTATTATGCGAGACTTCGCTGTGCGACC